CCCATGTAAGTCCATGAGTGTACGGTCTGGGACAAACATATTTATGAAGCTATAGACCACAAGATACAAGTATGAGTGGTGCTACGGAACACACCATCTCTACAGTGTATGTAACGTGATTCTGTGACATTTTATTATGTTTCATGTAATATTTGTTATATGAATGCATAGATGACAATTGGATGGAGTCAATGATATAGTGCAGATTTTAAGACTAAGTATACTTTGGCAGGCATCACTCCCCACAGAGTGGGATCCAAACCATATGTAACATATGTAAAGAAAAATAAAAACAAATGGAATAGTCAACACACCCACCCAGTGAAGATGGAAAGGGGCAGCCACATACAGGGTAAGGTGATGGATCGAATGGGAAAAACACGAAAAAATCTAGAGAAAGAGAAGAATATAGCAGGCAAAGTGACTGGGGAATCCAACTCGTGAGGGGAATGGGAGAAAATTCACAGGAAAAAGCAAGATTCCAATGAATAAACAATCAGACCCAGAAACCACAGAAGGATGCAGTGCATGTCATATACCATCTATGGGCACTGTTTGGACAAAGGAGTTGGTAAAGATCAAAATGATCCTAATAGTGGAAGATGGAATGAAGGGTCTGAAAAGTGAATTCAGGATTACCCTCCCAAGCAGCTGAAGTCTTGGACATAAAGTAACACTTTGGAAAGATGGTGACCACATGCCACCAATATGAGAAACAGGGACATGTGAATGACAACAAAGGTTCAAACAGAGGATGAGCAATGATAAATGAGCATAATAACATAGACAGTACATGAGATTGGAACACAGAAGCAAATTCGGTAAACTGAAAAGTGAAAGACAAAACTACCCTATAACCTGCAACAAAGGAAACCGATAGGTCTCACTAATAAAGCCAAGAGAAAAAAGATGGCAGTGAAGGAATGGTAGGAAAGGAAGGATGATAATTTAGGTGTATAGATCAATAGCATTAAGTATAGTACCTATGCTAGTAAACCATCAAAGAGGAAGGACAAAAAACCAAGGAAGCTATATGCCTGGAAAGTCCTTACCTTCAGGCAAGGAACCAGACAAAAGTCATGTGTGAAGAAAGAGTGTGTGTATTGATGGATGACACACACCTGAATGTGGCTGACGAAGGAGTATGAGAGACAACAAAAGCCATCACAGAAGTGGAAACCATGTTAGAGCCACCTAATACAGTGCCACCAGCAGAACTCAAGGATGAAGACAAATAGGAAGATATGCATAGAGGTAACGACCTGTCCAATCCTGACTGAAAGCAATTGTGAGACACCCCTAAGCACACATAACTCCTCAAAAATGAGAAGATCTAAAGACTACCACATTGGTAGAATCCTATTGGGACAGGATAACCAATCAATGACCAGATTCAGGACACCTATAATAAGACATGCCAACAAAGTGATATGATGGCAGTGGGCCCCAATATAGAAAATACAAAATCCAAAATAAAGGTCTCTTAACTGGGTGCCCTCATGCCTGGTGATGTAGGACACTACCGTAGAATTGCTAGAGTGTATCATCATCACCACCTGGTCCTGAAGAACCAGTAGGAAGGTAAGTACTGCCCAATGAAAAGCAAGAAGTTCCAACAGATTGATATGAACAACAGATTAAAAAATTCCCCACCCAAAAACCTCCCAAGTGTCGAGAAATGATCCACAAATGGAAAGAGAAGCATCTGTGATAAAGGTTACAATCTGGATGAGGGAGAGGAAACACCCACAGTAATATTGGTCCTATCTAGCCAGCAGTCAAACTCGGACTATAATTGAGATTAAAGGATAAGAGAAGCATCCAAGAGAACCCACACAAGGCACCATAGGTTGATTTAAACCCACTGAAGATGGTGCATGTGGGCACGACCAAGAGGAATGAGGGCTTTGAGAGAAGCCCATGTCCCCAAAAGAGATAGAATCTCACATGGAGAAGGAAAAAGAGATGCTGCATATGAGACATTCCATAGCTCTCAACTGAAAGCTGGTTCCAACAGAGAAATGAGGTGAGAAACACACCAAGAAGAACCAGAAATTGAGGAATTGTCAGGAATGATTTCCCCACCTTGATAAGCCAACCCACCAGGGCACCTTCCTGAAGAAGAAACTGAGTATGTAGGGCATAGTCAGCCTGTGAGGAAGCTAGAAGTAGCTAGTTGTCTATGTAATAGTTTAAATGAAGGCCGCAGGAATGAAGCAGTAAGCAAAGGCCCAGACCACTCAGCAGAACGCACGTGGAGCCAAAGCATGTCCGAATGGAAAAGCCCAAAATTGAAACACACACCCACGATGAACAAAACGAAGCAAAGGTCTGGATTCTGGGGAGATGGGGATATGTAGATATGCGTCCGACACATCGAATTACTTCATCCACAAACAAGGAGTGAAAACCCAATGAAGAGTTAAGTATGACTCCATGATGAGCTTGAGAATGACGAGGAAGAAGTCCAAAGATAATAAATCAGAAACTGAATGTCAAGCTACTGCCTTTTTTTGGGAAGGACAAAAAAGATGAGAATAAACCCCTAATGAGTAGGATTTTCTCTTTGATGGCACCCTAGAGAAGTAATGGAGGTAGGGAAAAGTAACCAAAGTATCAGGGTCTGAACCCCACATAGGAAGAAGAATTCCAAAAGGTATGAATCTAATTATGGGTAGTTGGAACTATAAAAGCATAAACATGATAGGCCAACATATGTAGGGACAAAGCACATCGATAACCCTAATGCAAGTGTTCCCCAAAACGATTAGCAAGAACTTCAATATCCGAGTAGGAGGAAAAATGAGAAAATGATTAATCCCCTATAATGGCATGGGTAGAATCTTAAAGGAAAACAGGAGACAATGACAAAACACAACATACCCGATTAATTATGTCTACAAAAGGAGAAAGAGTATTGGGTAAGACTCCCGATACAACACAAGACAGATAAACATAATCAAGAGGGAGAAAAAGGCAGCCCAAAGTCACATCCATCCATACAGACACACCTAGGTGCTGGTATTACAGGTTATTCAGAATGTTGCCTGATATTGTACAATTTCCTACGAATCATAGCTGTTGCATTAGTGGCCAATAACTATGGTACTGACCCCGTAGATGTGGTCGGTAAATCTGCTGTAGTAGTTGTGACTATCTGAAACTATGTAGGGCATAACTCACAAAGTAGTAAACTTGAACAAAAAATTTCAAAGGGAGAGTAGATAATGAAAATAAATTATGACTCTCCACAAAAAAATGGAAAAATGACAATAAACGAAGTAGAAAAATATACTAAAGCAAAAACTTGTGGATAATATAACTAAATCGCGAGCAAAAACAAACACATCTGCACAGTAAGACTGTCAACTGAGAGGTGATTAACAAGTGCATGATTACAGATGGTGCTAGTTATGATAGGGGTAGCACTGCAATCTTATTGGTGGTTAGTTGCTGCATGACTATTCACATGTTGATATGCAGAAAGATGTGGGATTTACAAGACTAGTGGTGAGCAAAAATTTCTGCTGAAAGAGAGCAGTAGTAGTCAGGAAAGCTATTTGTGAGTGGAAGTAAGATATCATATCAGAAAATAATATATTTATCTAATGAATGTCTGCTGTGAGAGTGAGTGTGAAGAATTTGGTTAATTTGTATAGATACTGGGCCAGTTAAGTGGAGTTTTTAATGTAATTTGATGTGGGAATTTAGTTTTAGTTATTAAACTAAATTACAGGCCAGTGAGTAGGTTACTATTCCAGCTTATGCTAATTCTTCTTTTCTCTATTTGCAGTTAGATTAATGACCCAGACATTTGGTCAGTGCCATTTCTTCTAAATGCTGTGATTTTATTGTTCGTACAGAATCTTATAACATGCATTTACATCCTCTAAAGATAGTAGGAGGCGCTTATTCAAAACATAAAGATGAAGCAGATGTGGCTAATTTACTTAGAGTCAAAAATGAGTTTTCTGTATACCATGATCTTGTTTTTTAGCAAAAGTGGTATTTACAAAAGGTTTCAACAACTGCAAAAAATATATGAGTACATCAAAGAACATATTAAAGGACAAGAGAGATCTCTGGTGTGCAACAAAGTAGAAAGACTTAAAAACTGCCATGGCTCAGTGAATGGGGAGTGTTTTAGCTAAAATTATCTACCGTATTCTGTTTTTAGCCTAAACAAACCTGGCCTTCCATGGTACAGCAAGTACACCAAGAAAGACTCAAGTTCATCTGCTGTTCTTTCTATTGAATAGAAAATGGAACAATGAATTTATTTTTCAACCATTACTGATAAATGAGCTTTGGTAAAGGCTAGGGCCCTAAGTTCCAATATCTATTCAAATTCAATTCTGGAAATCATTACTTAAGCCTTTAGTAGTATGATGTTAATTGTTTCATTACACTATCCTCTTCTTGCTTGAAGAAGAAAATTTGACAAAGCAGTATTTGAGCTATACCTTGTACCGTTTTTATTATCTATACTTGTATTCTACAAGTTGTCAACTGTGATACATATTTATGCGATACATATTATTATATAGAAATGAAATCAAAACTCTTGTAGCATTTTCTTCAAATAACACGTGGAGCTTCAGCAAAAAAGTAAAGAAAATCTTCCAAAACATACTCCTACTGAGGGGCCCTTAAGTCTACTTTCACCTAAATACCAGTCAGATACCAATTTTAGCCCAGACTGTGGTTCATGTAAAAGTAAAAAATGTACAATAAACTATGCACTATAGCTTAGAAAAGCAAATGACATTGAAATATTACATTAGAAGAGCTAAGCCAAATCTTTGATTAAAAAATAATTTTGTTCTGGAGCTTAGCTCACTTTTAATCATATAATATTTTTCCTTGGTTGTAAAAAAATCCAGTTAAAGTACATAAACAAAATGCTGAGATCAATACTTGTATATCAATTTCTATTTAGGATCAATATATCAATAAAAACTATAATGTCAATCTACATTAATTATAAAAACTGATCTTACCTTGGCATCCATAATTGGGTCATCAAAAAACCCTTCTGGTAATGCTTCTGCTATGGTGATTTTTGGCTCAGAAACTGATATTTTGGGAGAGTCTTTCTTTTCCTCACTATTTAAAGTACCCAATAAATCTTTCGATTCCTTCATATCCAATGTCTTCTTTAAGTCTGTTTTCTGATCAACGGAGGCTGAAAAAAAATTAGCATAAAGAAAAACACATATACTTATTTTATTATAATAGAGAATAGCTAAATAATGTTTAAGAACAGGGGGTGCATAAGACTAGTTTCTTGAGTTGAATTTAAGCTACAGCTTTAAAAGAAAAAGTTTAAGCCAAGCTTTAGTTTTCATTAGTTTATTATTGGAAAAACAGTTAAAAGTTTAAATATAATAAGTCATTGATTATGGTAGAAAAAAATCATATGAATATACCCTGCACAAGGCCTATATTGTGGGACCTCACAAGAAAAATAATGATTTCTGTTTTATAACTCTTTGTTGATACCAGTTATTTTCTGATAAGTCTGTGTCATGATGGCACTGTCACACAATGAATATAAAAGTTTAATATTTGCATGTTTTGATTAAATGTTTCTATTTTTTTTAAGGTATTGAGGGAAAAACACATTACGTTAAAGGTAAGTAAAGTGAATGTTCTTTCAAATGCTGTAAATATGATAATAAAATGGTTTTGAGGGCGATTAGTAATAAAACCAAATACTTAAAATTATTATAGTATAAAACTACTTGTTCTTGGAGAACTAAATTTCACCAGACATACACTGAGAATCATAAGTTTTATTCTTGAAGTTTGATAAAATGTTCTAGAAGAAAAATAGCAAGATAGATATATAATCAACTATAGTTAAGTATTTTAACTAGAACTAGGAGACAATAGTATTCATTAAAAAGGAAATACTCCTGCTGAGTAATAAAATGTGACTGGTCTAAGGAAAAAATTCATGCTTACCAACTCCTGTCATTGTTATTTCATGTATACAGTAATTAAATTTGAAATAGTGATGTGTAAGGTTAATATTTTTCAACACTTAAAATATATTTCTGATAGCTACTTACCTCTACTCACATAATAGCTTCTCTTGTGCAGTGCTGCCATGATATGCACAAATCATATTGTTTGCTACTAGCCTTTAAACTCCCAACAACATAATAGCTTCTCTTGTGCAGTGTTGCCACAAATATGCACAAATCATATTGTTTGCTACTAGCCTTTAAACTCCCAACAACATAATAGCTTCTCTTGTGCAGTGTTGCCACAAATATGCACAAATCATATTGTTTGCTACTAGCCTTTAAACTCCCAACAACATAATAGCTTCTCTTGTGCAGTGTTGCCACAAATATGCACAAATCATATTGTTTGCTACTAGCCTTTAAACTCCCAACA